TAAGAAGTCATTGGGAATGTTTTCTTTGCCTTTGTTTCTATGATATATTTTGATCTTTAAAAATCTCTCAGGTGGAATATCGTAAATGACAATATTATAAATTCCTTTCCTCAATGTCTGTATACTTGGTTTAAAAAATTACGGGTTCTAATTCTTTAAAAATGAAAGTGGAAGATTAACTTAGGGCTTAACACTTGCTTAATTAAATTTAATTATATTCTTCCTTCTTTTCCTGAGAGAAAAGTTTTTAATAAGCTCTCTTTGATAAAAAGAAATAATAGCAGCTCTCTAACACATCAATGATGGAAGAGGGAAGGAGGCAGAACAGTGGATATAAAAGAGACAGTTGAGATAGAAACTTACTAGAAAAGCAGTTAGAGAGAAACCACAGTACATCTGCATTTTTTTAAAACAGATTTTCTGATAATAAATGAACAACACGCAGAATGAAATTTAATTTTATTCAGACACCTGTTCAACATTCCTGGCGTTGTCACTGGAGAAAGTTTAAAGTCTAATGGTTTAATTGTAAAAAAACAAAAAAAAATTAGCATGTCCAAAAATGTCCAAAAATTTCGTTCCGAAAATGTCTCCCATATTTTGTTTTTTTGTGTGTGTTTTTTTAATGTGATTCTATCAAAACAAATGAGAATTGTCAATTTTTGGAACGAAAACGGGTATTACAGGTGAGGATTAACCAAGTAGGGGGAAGCCTCCATAGGAAGGTGGGACCTCAGTGGGGAGAGTGGGGTTCCCTCCTTTCTGGGCGTGGTTCCCTGCAGATCCACAAGCTCAGTTTAATCAGTTTTTCTGGGGCTTTTTACGTCCTGGGAGTCTGGCTCCTGCTTACTCAAATCTCAAGAGATTGATTTATAAACCCTAAAACCAGCCCATTAAGTCACAGAAGTTGTTCCTCATTGACCAGAGTGTTCTAATTCAATGGGACAATCTGGACAGAAAAACAACCCTAATTTGGAAGATTGCCAAAAAGGTTTTATTAAACAAAAACGTAACTTCCTACAATTATTTACAGTAATGGACTCATGAAAGATGGATTTATTTAATCTAACACATGCTGACCTTAAGGTCTCCCAATGTCTTTTTTCTTTTAGAGTGTTTCCGTAAGATAAAATGTGCCATCTAATGAATCAACTTTTAAATGCTTACTGGATCCCTGTTTGAGGAGCCTAAGGCAAATATGTGAATACACAACCTTCTCTAGTACCCAGTAGTATAGTGTCACTATAGCTCAGTAACGTCAGCGTCTGTAAATAGGAAAATATTTATCTGTGACACTTCCAAAGAGAAGACAACTTGTACTATGTTGCTAAGAGTCATAAATAAAAGCACCATACCAAGGAAAACGGGATTTGGGCCTGGAAAGAAACAAATCTCAGCTTATACGTATTATCTCGGGCTCAAATTTGATGTCTCCTGGGTCTTTTTTTTTTTCTCCCCTACAAAATGGAATATACATCTTATTTACTTGTAAGATTTTTTTGTACTACAAAATTAATGTTTATTAAAGTAATTTTTCAATATTGTATCATGGGTCCTTTCCTGTTCTTAGCATTTGCTAAGAATATGCTTTTTCTAGAGAATAGTAGCTGAGACTTAAGTTTCATCTCAGAGCTACCTTGTAATGAATATTTTATTAAATTCTTATTTTATAGGCTGATTCTGATACTTCACTGTGAAAGAAACAGTGGGATTACTATGTGCTTTGTCTTTGAAAAAAATAAAGCATCCTGTTTATTAAAAAGGATTGAATTTTGTAACATAGGGTGCTGTGTATTATGGATTGAAGGAAGGAAGTATATTGATTATTGCTTACAAAATGATTTTATATGTTTTCTTTTGAAAAATAATAGTTTGAATTTAGTAGTAGCTTGTTAATTAACTCATAATGTGAAATATTTACTATGGTTTTATAAATAACATGAAAATGTGGTTGCTAATTTTTAAATTTTTTTAAGTAAAATTCTAAAAATACTTTTCGTGTACATCACAGCCTCAACAAGAAGTTGATTTAAACTCTCCACGAACTACCACTTTGGAAAGGCAGACTTTCTATTGTGTCCCAGTGCCTGGGGAATCTGCGTGGGTAAAAGAAATATCCTTTGGGTTTTCTTATTTGTTGAATGGTTCTTGATATTTTCTTAAATGGAAAAAAAAAACGAAATTTAGATTTTCAGTTTTTAAAAACTTAAGTCTTCTTACCACAGCGAAGCTTAACAGGAAAAAAACTGTATAAAACAACCTAAGTATTCATCGACAAGAAATTAGATAAAGTTATGGTACATTCTTATAGTGAAATACTGTTAAAAAGAATTGAGGAAATTTAAAGATAATTGAAAAAGAGAATACCACAATAATTAAGAAAAAAATTCAAATTAACAACTAATTCTAATTTTCTTCAGAGAAAACAATATGTTGATTCTTTTGAACGGAGTGTGTGGAAACATCTTCATCTTCTTGTCTATTTAATTTTTTTAGTTCGTAATTTTTTTAGGCAAAGTTTATATACACAGAACTGCATGGATTGTAAGGGTATACTTTAGAGATTTGCAGCCCAAAGTAAAGAACTCGTGCCAGAAGTTCCCTTCTGCCTTCTTTCGAGTCACCGCTCCCCTCCCTTCCAGCCACTGTCTCGATTTCTTCCACCGTGGCTTCAGTTTACCTGCTTGTGCCTGTCATACAAATGGAATCATGTAGCACAGAGTCTGTTGTGTCTGATGTCTTGTTCAGCACAATGCATTTGAGATTCACCCCTGCATATGTTAGTTCATTTTTTTTATTGCTGATGGTATTTGTTTATTGTCTCCACTTGGTGAGCATTGGGGTTGTTTCGAGTTCGGGGCCTGGCATTTTCTTTGTAAGACTTTCAGTTCGATTTTTTTAAGTTTTTTTGTTATTGTTGTTACTTATGATAAGTTGTGTCTTACAAGGAATTGTTTAAAATGTTTAATCTCAGTTGTTAAATTTGTCGGTAACGTGAAGCTTTTCGTAGTATTTCCTTATTTTTCTTTTAATGTCGAGGGGATAGCTATCAGTGATCTCTTTCATTTCCAATATTGTTGGTTTTTCTCTTTTATTCTTGATCAGTGTTGCCAGTGATTTGTCAAAGAACCAGCTTTAACTTTTGTTTTCTGTTTCATCAATTTCTGCTCTTTGGTTTTATTTTAATTTTTCTCCAGCTTCTCAAAGTAGATGCTTAGATCATTAATTTCAAATCTTCCTTCTTTTCTAATAGCATTTACGTCTATAAATTTCTCTCTGATCAGTGCGTTAGTTGCATTTCACAAATTTTGATTTTATTATCAAAATTTTGTTTTTATTATCACTCAGTTCAAAATATTTTCTAGTTTCCCCCGTGAATTCCTCTTTGATCTGGACGGCAGTGCATTTCCACTTGTGCCCCTCCCTCCCGTTTTTGTGCTGTTGTTGTCCTACACTTGTTCTTAAATTATAGAGCCCAAGATATTGTTATTTTTGCTTTAAACAGTTGTCTTTTACGTAAATTAAGAAATGAAGAAAAAACATCTTTTACATGTTCATGTACATATCAACCATTTACAGCTCTCTTTGTTTTTTTAATCTGGAATCCTTTCACTAAGCTTTTTTTCTTTTTTTTTTTTTTTTTTGTTAAAGTACAAATCTTTTGGTGAGGAATTCTCTCAGCTTTGGTTACACTGAAAACGTCTTCATTTACCCTTATTTTTGAAGGTATTTTTATTAGCTGTAGAATTCTTGATTGACAGTCACTTTCTCCAGCACTTCGGTGGTATTGATCCAGTGTTTTCTGGCCTTCATTGTTTTTTGATGAAAGGGTTAGTCATATCATTATTCCCCTGTATATAATGTGTTTGATTTTCTTCTGGCTGCTTCTAATGTTCTGTTTTTCTGTAGTTTTCATCAGTGTGATTATGATGTGCCTGGGTGTGGGTTTCTTTGTGTTTTTCTTGCTTGAGGTTTTTGGTTTGGTTTGGTTTGGTTTGAGTTTTTGAATCTATGGATTGACATTTTTTTCGGAAGAGTTCAGCCTTTATTTCTTCAAATATTTTTCTGTCCCAGTCTCTCAGTGTCTTGTTTTTTGGGGGACTCCAGTCACATGATGGTTAGACTACTTGTTATTGTACTCCAGGTGACTGAGACTCGATTCTTATTCTTTTTCTTTTTTTTTTTTTCATTTCAGGTATTTTATTTTTCAGTTGGTTCTTTTTCATGGTGTCTATTTCTCTGCTAATATATTTCATCTTCGACTCACTTTTAAAATTGTAATTTTTATAATTGCTTTTTAACGTCTGCCAATTTCAATCAATATCCAGGTCTTCTTTGGGTTTGTTTCTGTTGACTACTTTTAATTCTGGTTATAGGTCATATTTTTCTGCTTTTCCCTATATAACTGATAGTATGTTATTGTTTGCCGATGTACAACCTTGCAAGTTTGGTTTTGCCTTCATTTCAAGAATGTCACACTTTGTTCTGATGGGCAGGTGATTTACGTGGTTCACTTTAACCTTGTCAAGGCTTGGTTTTGCGCTTTGTTAAGGTTGGTATGGAGCAACCCCTGCTACCTGGGACATGGTCCTTACTCGTGAGGTAGACAGTTTCTGGGTCTCACCTGAGTGCCAAGGATGTT